CTGTTGCAGCACTGGCCAAATACGTTCCAGTCCCAGCCCTCGAGAAGCACAGACACAAACAGGACCTGGGGCAGGACGGCAGGATCCGGCCCTGCAGCTTTATTGAATGCGGTGTCCCTGGGGTGGGCAGCTCCTACGGCACGGGGCGCCCCGGGGGGCCTCATTCATCCCAGGCGTTCTTGTCAGTGTCGATGGACATGCAGTTGTACACGGCGTACCGCAGCAGCTCCTCACAGGCCTTGGCCCTGGGTGGGGGGGATGCTGAGTCACGGCCGTGACGAGCACCGAGAGCCCCACGCTTCCCTCCCCACGTCCGCCCCGATGTCCCCTGGGGCAGGACCTGGGGAGCCTGGGAGGGGACCCCAATGCCAGCCCCAGGGAGGGGGGAACGTCCCTGTCCCCTGTCCCCAGCTCGACTCACGAGGAATAGTTGGGCAAGAAGAAGATGCAGGAGCACGTGGAGGCCTGTGGCATCAGGTCGAATGCGTTCAAGCTTGGGAGAAAGGAGAGAGAGTCAGACCCCGGCATGGCGCAGGGACCCCAGCCTGGGCAGGACGGACTCACTTTGCCCTTTCTGGGTAGACAGTGATCTGAACCGGGAGGCGGCTCCGGCCAGTGACGAACTTGAGGAAGCGGCTGAGATCCTCTGAGGGGAAGGACGGGGCTCAGGTCTCAGGGACAAGGACAGGACTGTCCCAGTTGCTGCCATCGCGGCAGGGTCTGCCCTTGCGGAAGCACCCCGGGAGCGCAGGACAAAGCTAAGGGATGCTCTCAGCATCCCGGGAAGGGCCAGGTGGGACGACCCCCAGCCGGCTCCCAGGGAAGCACCCGGTGAGCATCCCCAGGGCACAAGGCAGTGGGTACCCTGTCCCCTGGCCCACCCCGCTGTACATGAAGAGAAGGGAAAGGCTGGCGGTCGCTCACCGCTGGTGAAGTTGTTGAGCGCCTCCAAGAAGTTCTGGACACGGGTGTCGTCAGGGGGAAAGTCCTCAAACGTCACTGCGACAAGGAACGTGCAACAGCTTTTGTTGCAGCAAAGCAAATTCACATGGGATACGTCCATCCCGCCCTTCTGTGAGAGTCCAGAGCGGAGGCAGGAGAGGAGGAGACCCTCCGCTCTCTGTGAGCCCCCGCGAGCCCCCGGCACCCTGAGCAGGGCCAGCACCCTGTGCAAAGCCAGGTGGAGAAATGGGGGTCCCAGTTTGCAGGGTGGCCATTCACCTCTGCTCAAAATTGCCAAGGACCAGAGGGACCAGGATGGGAACTGGTGGGGTTTGCAACTAAACCTGAAGCATCCCAGCCCTATCCCAGATCCCTCTGGCTCATCCTCCCCCAGGCTGACACCCCAAGACCAGGGACAAGTCGTGCGCAGGATGAGCGTTGTCGAGGGGAGCCCCTGCCCACGTGGGGGGCTGGGAGCAGCTTTGGGCTGGCTTTGGGCACTTACTGAACCTCCGCAGCTCGGTCACTGTGATCTCAGGGTCCCCGCAGACCTTCTTCTTCAGCTGCTGCCAGGGGAGCAGGTCCAGCACAGGCTGGGGCACCACGCGGAGCAGCCCAGCACGCATGGCTGCAATCTGGGGGGGGCACAGGAGGAGTCCCACATCACTGCGACGGGTCTGAGCCCAGGGCAGCCAGCCAGGGCACTGGGGGCAGGGACCGCAGGACCCCAAAGGGGGTCCCCGGGGCTCATGGACATCCTGGGCATGGGATGCACAGAGGAACCGCCCACCTGGAGCTGTTTTTGGGGACACGTTTTCGCAGACACCAACTCCCTAGGTACCTGGAGGGCTTGCCACAGGGGCAGGGTCCCCTCGGCGCCACTCCAGTTACCTGCTCCTTGCTCTCCTCCAGCCGAGCCCTCTGCACCAGACGGATGAACTCCTTGCGGTCCTCGTAGCGCACCACGGTGCTGCTGCCATTGGGGATCAGTTCCACCACGCGCTGGTCGCTCCGCACCATCGTGTAGGTCAGCTCTCTGCCGAACATGAACTCGAAGGCTTCCCTGTCCAGCCCCTCCAGCACCTCCAGCAGCTTCACCTGCAAGCCCAACAGGCAAAAGCCATCACGGCACAGCCAGAGCAGCCACAGGACCACACGGCACTGCCCTGCCAGCCCCCAGCCCCGCTCACCAGCTCCGAGTCCACGGCAGCGAAGTCCTTGCTCCAGCTGACCTCCTCCCCTGCCAGCTGCTTCCACACCAGTGCTGGCAGAGCCAGGATCTGCCAGACGGAGCAGAGACACGCGTCCTCGCCATGTCCCTCCTTCACCCGAAGGCAGCCCCTCTGCCTTAGACATGGTGGCCTCTGCCAAGCCCCGTTGCCAGCCGGGGAGGCTCTGCTGTGCTCACCAGAAACTCCTTGCTCCTCAGGGCTGCTCCCATCAGCTGCCCAATCCACTCGTACTTGGGGAAGTCCTTGCAGGAGGGGTTGGGGACGTACATGTCCCTGGTGTCGCTGCTGCTGTTACCCTGCGGGAGAGAGGCTTAGGACCCGTGGACACAGATGCAACCAGCCCAGCATGGTCCCTCCTGCAGGCTTCCTCTCCATCACCCCTTCACCTGCCTCTCCCACCTGCCTTTACAGCCCTCCAGGAGATCTCCACTGCCCTGGTAGAAGAACAGCCCCCCCAGCCAATAGCTCTGCAAGCGTTAAGACAGGACTAACACGCCAAAATACTCCGGCTCTGCTGGATTTCCCCCCAGGGCTGGGACAGGCAGACAACGAGGTGCCAAACCTGGTTGGAGGTGCGCACGAAGAAGGGCAGGGGCACGGGGACATCGCCTGAGCTGGGACACAGCTCCTCCGACACGTCCGACAGGCTGTCCCGAAAACCACCGCCTGAGATGGGGGCAGAGGCTGGTTAGTGCCTGACACACCGGGGCCAGACGCTGAGCCGCAGGATCTGGCCAAGCCATCCCCTCTCCATGGGGCAGGGGCAGCGCTGGGGGCATAGGGGAGATGCAGGGACCACCCCACTTGTGCAGAGCGGGGCTGCCTCCTGCAGAGCAGCCAGGACAGTCTCGGCACCCTGCCACAGTGGTCGACCCACCGAGCTGCCCCCCAGCATGAGAAAGCCCAGGGGAGAGCCGCAGGCAGGAGGGGAGAGCTCTCACCATTGTCAACGATGCCCTCGGTGATGAACTCGCACTCCCACCACTGGCTGTAGCTCAGGGGCCACCTGCAGAGAAGAAACAGCCCCCTGCACCCCCCTCCTCCGAGAGAGCCAGCAGCACCCGGCATCCCCCCGCACCTTGCTCCAGGCAGGTGACACCCCACAAATGTGACCTGAAGACCTACCTGTAGTCCAGGGGCTGATTGTTCTTGCAAGATCTGAGGCCTTCGTACAGCTGGAGAGGAGCAGAGCGGAAAGGGAATGAGACGCAGTGGGGGAAAGCGATGCTGCATTGGCAGGCACCCAGCGTGGGGCACGGCGTTGCCGTACCTGGGTGAAGACGGTGTTCCTGCAGCCGGGGTCCAGCGCAGGGTTGGCACGGTGCTCCCGGGCCAGGTGCCGGTTGATGTACAGCTTTGGCAGGGCCTGAGGGAGGCTGCTTTCCGAGGACTGGAGACAGTGGGCGATGAGGGCTGTGCTCTGCTTGGACAGCAGCAGGAACGGCTTCATGCTCTAGCAGGGGACAAGCAAGGATGGTTAGAGGCCTGATCCTGCTGCCGCGTGCCCTCTTTCCCCCTCCCCAAGCACAGCCCCTGGTGTCACAGGGGATGCTCAGCTCCCCCATCCCTCCAGCAATGCCCAGCATGGCAGCTCTCAGCGTGAGCCCTGGGCTGGTCTGTCCCCATTGGATCAAGGGGGACATGCCACAGCCCCCAGGGAAACCAGCTGAGCCCGTGATGAGATGCTCCTACCGGCACCATCCGAGGGGAGCCCGGCAAACGCTCACCCTGAGTGCATTGAAGGTACCGATGCTGTCCTCGGAGAGGGGGATCAGGTAATGCAGGACACTGTCCAGGAGCTGGACGAACCTGGCAACCGGAGAGGAGCAGCCCGAGGATGCAAGGGGGTTGGTGGACGTGTGGAGCCCGATACACCCGCAGTGTTTCACCGCAGACAGTCCCAGGCACGCGCTGAGCCCGGGCGCTGCGCTCCCTGCACGTGGGTCTCCTCCAGCCCACAGAGGGACTCTGGCACACCAAGGGGAGCACCCAACCAACACCCTCTGGCCAAGCGCTTTATTTTGTACCCCCAAGAAAAAGCTGCAAATGAGGGCAGCTCAGCCCACAGCACAGCACTGCGGCTGACGCGCTGCAGAGGGTCTCTCCATGGGGCCAGCGCTGACCCCAGGCTGGGGCAGTGGAGTGGGAGACTCCACATTGCAGGTTCCCCTTGCCCGGTGCCGGCACCGTGCTCCCCAGGCACTGGAAGCAGCCGTGTTCGGATGGGGAGCAGCAAGCCAAAGTCCCTGCTGCACATGGAAAAGGAGCTGGCAGACTTTAAGCAAGACACGTGCAACCCCCTGCTAGAGGCCAGGGCACGGTCCTTCTCGGGGCCCGGGCTCGCTGCGGGGACGGTGCCGTCCCAGTGCCGTACCTCTGAATGAGCACAGCCCGACGGTACAGCACGTCGGCATCCACCCTCTT